AAGTTTATTCAAGTACTATACGACTTTCGTCATGGTACAAATGTTAACAAAAATAGATTTGAATTTTCTAATAAAGAAAATGCATATAATAAAATAAATTTCAAATATAGAATATACAAATAATAATTTAAATATTAAATATAGTATATTAAACAAATACAGATAATAATTTTAATTTCACATATATTATATACAAAATAATAATCTAGATTTCACATATTAATTAATTATACAAAATAATAGTTCAAACTTTTAATTAAGGCAGGTATATACAATAAGTCGATTGGATAAAATTCATGAGAGTATTTCTTGTCTAATATCTAATCCTTTTTTTATGTACAAAGCTAAGTTTTTTTGGACATCTATAGATTTGCTTGTAAATAGAGATTTAAGTTTGAAATCGTTTGGGTTTGAGTGACAATATTTTGGCAGGAAGTTAACTCTGAGATCCTGTAGCACTGGACAGACAAGTATGAAATGGTATTCTGTTTCTACCTGTTTATAATTACAAATATTACATAATCTAGCATGAAATGGAATGTTATGATGTCTTCCAAGTTCTACATTTAACTTATGCTTTGAACATCTAAAATTAGCTAGATGAAAAATTAAGGATTGAGATAAGTTTGAGTTTAAATAATTTTCACATTCATTTTTTATAATGGAATAGAACTGACATATGGTAGAAGTAGTAATATCTGATTGCCAAGATTGAAGACTGTTGTCTTTAAGTCGTTGTTTGAATATGCAAATGAATTGTTTTATGTTACCCACTCCTTGTGAAAACCATACATCGCCAAAACCATGCGTTAATAGTATATTTTTAACAGACGTACACCAATTGTTTCTACCTATTTGACTTTGGTTATATAACATATTATAACATAGTTTTGGTAATCTGTGATTTCCCATTTCCTGGATTTTCAAAAAATATTTAATAGGTCTTCAAATATAGTTAATATAAAGCTCATACCTCCCACATTCACCTCTGATCATGTTGTTAGTGGTTTTTTGTCCAGTGTATAGAAGCCATTTGCAAAATTTAGTTTGTACACTTTCAATCTCTACGTTCATTTCGAGCCCCCAGATCTCGGAACCATAATATAATATGGGACCTACCATTGAGTCGAATAGTTGGAATGCAACTTTAATATTTCGTGTTCCTGTATTAGATAAGCATTTCTTTATAACATTTAAAGCTTTCGTGGCCTGTTGGGATAAATATGAACAATTAAAATTCCACTTTAAATGACATGAAAATTCAATACCTAAATACCTATAATGTGACACGGTCTCTAACTTTGAACCCATGTAATACCATCTTTCCCTCCAGAGAGAACCCCCATTCTTAAATACCACGACTTTCGATTTGTCAAGGTTAACATCCATATTCCACTGTTTACAATATTGTTTCAGTATATTTAACCGATTTTGTAACTATTTTTCTAGTTATATCATTGAATCGGTAATTAAAGGGCTGAGATCAAGAAGGCGTATGAGTTGCAGTAATTTGTCACAATTCGAAAAAAATGCGAATAGCCTAGAGTTCAGCTCATTCTTTCAATTTAGATCTGAAAGATGAGAGGGTTTATCACAAAATTAGCGTCACAATGGTTCGATCAAAAATTTACAGGGGAACTGTGAACAACATGGCAACGAGACTTTATCACATGGATTTCGAATCTTTTGAAACTTCTAGCCTCTAGTCTGGTATATGATAAATAAATCAATTATATAATTACACTCCAGAAATGTCATCTCAATATTCTCAATTTGCAAAAAATAATAGAACTAATTCACGATAAACCTCCCAATTATTCAATTGACAAAAACACAACACGTAGATAATCAGATCTGTCACCCGTGATACGAATTTGATATTAATTATGACTTCTGTCGACGACTTCTCTCATCAAATTTTGTCGACGAGTTGACTTCTGTCGACATGCTAAATGGTATTTATATATACTAGACTGAAGATATTACAATCTTCCATTAACATTCATTAAATTAACTTACAGAGGGGTCTCAAAATGAAAGAGAGCATATTATGTTAAATTCCCGGGAAAGGGTCCACACTAACCTAGATGGGCCACTGAGAGTCTTTAAAATGAAGTGTTTCCAAATTTTATTAGACGATAGCCAAATTTTTAAGCTGAAACAAGCTTTTTTCTGTCTAGAAAGTTGAGGATACGAAATATTTGAGTGATGTTGATATAAAATGTATGTATTCTGACCAGGAACCTAGAATTTCAATGTCATTCCAAAATGGCTGCCGATTTTCAAGATGACCGCCAAGTTTAAGGTGAATCAAGCTGTTCTCCATCTAGAATATGATGTTGTGTCCAAAATGTACGTATTCCGACCAGGCGAACTTAATAGTTTCTTAATCATTCCAAAATGCCCGAAGTTTTCTATTGTTCTGATCTGAAATTAGATAAAATAAAAATACTAAAAAAATGTACCCCCATCGTTTCAAAATATCTACTTCCGGTTGACTTGGCAGTAAATATAAATCGGTCGACCGAAGGTCCTAGTACCTTGTCATTACTAGACGTATTGACAAGCTTAAGACCATTAACAAACTTAAAATACAGTTCACAAACAATAACATCTACTCAGGGACGTGCTGTAATATAGGTCACATGAAATCTAATTACTGGCAATAAAGATACAGGAAATCTTTAAAAATGTTCGTTCAGAAAAAAAAATACACGTATACATATTATTTTGTCCTTCATTTCATGATAAATGATGGATATCAACTACATGAAGATATATTTCGTATTTTGTTGGCATCTGGACTGTGATTCATGGATTACAATTTGAATAAATGTATATGCTTACAGGTCAGTTTTCGTGATGGCTCAAGTATTTTAGAATCATACATTTTGCATAAATTTTGTTGGAAACTTGTGACAAGGATGAACGAGCTATTAAAAATTATTCCATCCTTGTTCACAAACTATTTGAAGCCAATTCAATCGTGAATACATTTATAAAACAGGTCACATTCACTTGGCAAAAGACCAAGAGTCCATTATTTGGAGTCCATTATTGTGATAACTTTTGGTGGTTATCAAACCATTGCAGCAACCACGTAGTAGGGGTGGTAGGCAGAAGGACAACACATAGTATAGGGATGTTTATTGGTGGGTGACGTATTAGAGAGGGGGTAACAGAATAGTGCATGACAATATATACATGGAATAGTCTATTATAATACTATAGTTTGAAGGGGTGGTAGGTCGGGTTATTCTATTATAGATATTATTAGGTAATACTATGACATCCCCCTTTTTCTGTAAATGAAGTTAAAATGTACATCTAGATATTGAAGCTTGATTTACAAATTGAATATAAATTTTTAAGTTTTTTTGTTTTTTTTAATTTTAAGTATAAGAAATGATTTGTTTAGTTTTTTCTTTCTGAACATATATACAAATGAATTTTAAATGTTTCTAAAATATAATTATCACAGTCTCTTATCACAGTATAAAGTTTTGGAATATATACAACTACTTTAAAGGTCTAGTCTTGTTGGTGGTCTGCTTACTCTTCCAGAGCGGGTTTGTATACCTGGTTCAATTTCTGAGTGGTTATTCTTTCCTGGATCTTCAATTTGTTCTGTTGTAGGAGTTGAGGTTGGTGATTGGTTTGGTGAATTTGTTTGTGGTAGTATTGGGTCTGGTTCTTCTGGTATTTCAAACTTGACTTTTCTTCCTCGTTCTTTCAAAAATGTTCTGTTTCTTCGAACTGTATGACCATTAGGTAATTCAACTTTATATGATCTGTCTCCTACTGCAGGTCCCCATTTAAGTGTTTTGGGATTCTGTACGTTGACATATTGACCAGAAGTTAGAGGGCGTAGTGGTTTTACGTTTCTATCATGGTATTTCTTTTGTGTTTCTTGTCTTTCCATGAGTCTCTCAGTAATCATTCTATCTTGTGTGTTGGTATTAGCTATTGGTAGATTGGTTCTGTATTTTCTTTTATTTAGTAGTTCTGCTGGAGATGGTAAATGGTGGTCAATTGGTGTTGCTCTCAGACATAATAATGCCATAAGTATGTCGCTCTTGGTTTGAGTAGCTTTCTTCATGATTTTCTTTATAGTCTGTATTTGTCGTTCTATAAAACCATTGCTTCTGGCGTAATGTGGTGAACTGGTAACATGTTCGAAATCGTAATCTCTGGTAAATTGTTTGTAAGCTTGACTAGTATATTGTGGTCCGTTGTCGCTCATCATTTTCTGTGGTATTCCATATTCTGTGAAAATTTGTTTGGTTATCGTGACTATCATGGAACCAGTACTCTGTCCTTTTGGTATTTTCCTGACAATTGGAAATTTGCTGTAGAAGTCAGCAATTATGAGGTATTCGTCGTTGTCATGATAAAAGATGTCAGTTCCTAAGGTATGCCATGGTTGGTTTGGTACAGAGTATTGAATGAGTGGTTCCTTAAACTGTGATGTTTGGTATTCTTGGCATAGTGTACAATTGGAGACTAGTTGGTCTATATCTTGATTAATATTTCTCCAAAAGACTGATGTTTTCGCTCTCAATTTACATTTCTCTGCTCCCTGGTGTGCCATGTGTACTCTTCCTAATATTTCTGCCTGTAGTGATCGAGGTATGATAATTCTGTGTCCTTTTAGTATTATACCATTTTCAACTGCGAGTTCATCTCTATATGACCAATATGGTACGAGTGGTTTTGGTAGGTTTGCTTGACGTTCTGGCCAGCCATTGAAAATAGTTTCTTTTAAAGGTGCTAATTCAGGATCTGATGCAGTTTCATCTCTGATGTGGTCTAATTTGTTGGTTGAGAAGTTGGTCATTACAGTATGTATCTGGACATCCATATCTGGTATTGGTTCCATTTCTTGTGGCGATAGACGAGAAAATGCGTCGACAAGTAGTAAATCTTTTCCTGGTTTATAGTTTATGGTCAAATCAAATGGTTGGATTCGTAACAACATACGTTGTAACCTGGGTGGTGCTGCTGTTAGGTGTTTCAGATGAATACTTTGTAGTGGTTTGTGGTCACTTTCTACAATGAATGGTCTGCCATATAGGTAGGTATGAAATCTTTCAAATGTTGGTAAGTTCTCACTTTCCCAATCCATTGTTGGTATTTGGATACCAGTCAGTTCAGCCATGTTGTTTTCTTTCTTGAGTTCACTGGTTGTTGTGCAAGTATTATTTGGTAGATATTTTCTTACTTTGTCTCTTGGCTGTTTCCTTGGCTTTGTTGATGTTACATCCCACTTCTGACACCATGTAATAACTTTTGGTGGTTATCAAACCATTGCAGCAACCACGTGGTAGGGGTGGTAGGCAGAAGTACAACACATAGTATAGGGATGTTTATTGGTGGGTGACGTATTAGAGAGGGGGTATACAGAATAGTGCATGACAATATATATATGGAATAGTCTATTATAATACTATAGTTTGAAGGGGTGGTAGGTTGGGTTATTCTATTATAGATATTATTAGGTAATACTATGACAATTATTAATATCAATATAAGACCCGTATTTGCCAGCACCATTATGTTGTATAATGGTATAATGGTACCCCAAGATCAAAGGATGACGTCACATCTAGGCCTATATTTTTAATATTTTTTATTGAACAATAGTTAGATTAGTATGAAGAAGAACACTGAGGGGGATATAAAATATGTCTTGTGTGAAGGGAAAATATTCAATGAAACGATTCATATAAGTTTGGGATCATGTTTCATTATGGTAAATGGTAGAAAAGGGGTCTGTAGCGGAAATGGTCGTGACACCCGTTGGCCACCTTCTTCTATCTATCAATGTTTTCACAACACAACAGTTCGAAACCGGAAGCACCCAGAGACAAGGGAAGTAACCATGACTGACAAATACAAGGGACGTAACACTTCATATCGATATCTTGCCAATGACAGTCGTCAAACAATTCATTCAACCATATTTTTAAAACCAGTTTTAGAATTAAAACGGCGGTTTTCGGACTTTGTACTTAAACAGATTGTAAAGAGGTTTTCTTCTTCTTTTTTTTTTATGTACGGGGACACTGTTAGCATCAATTTACACCATTCTAATTTTTAGTCAGACGTCTGGGGTTCCTGCAATTCCACTAAAACTAAGCGTTTTATGACGTCACTAATCGTGAAGCATATTTTTAGAAAACGTCATGATAATATGCCATTGACTTCTATTACAATGAGAGCTAAGTGTTGTCATTTTGACGCGGATTTTTAAATCCTATTTAAATACATCGGATCTGCAAAACCCAGATATATTTGGAAAGATGAATATTTGTGTAGTTCAGTCAAACCATCATTTTCTCCCGACATCATTTATGTCGCTTCTACGGTGCCACTACAGTCACGTGATACTAACAAAACAAAAGTTACGGTGATGCCCAACACTAATTTACAGTCATCGTAAAGGTAATTAATATTATTTCAGAAAAAAAACGCATCTTCGGAGGTGTGATAAAGCCCCATTTAACAGGGTATATTTTTCTGACTCTACTCTAAGTCTACTCAAAATATCTATCAGAGGTTGGAATAGAGGCAGATGTTTCGGACTAATTCTCTAGTTGCTGTTTTCCTGAACACACCTGAGCGAATATCTCGAGAACGATGAATATTTAGACATGGGGTTTGAACTATTTTATCAAGAAAATCTTTCAAAAAATTGAAACAATAAAAATATTTTTGTTGTCTCCTCCATGACACTTTTATGTTTTTTTACTATAATGTTTTATTTATCATTTTGAAATCAGTATAGTGTGTTATTTGTATTATTGAATAATGTATATATATATATATATTGTATGCTGTTCTTTATGATATATAATGATACAATAAAATACCCTCCTATCTATCTATCTATTTATCTATAATCACGTTTTCCCAGTCTTCATTACTGCAGAAAAGTAGGATGTAAAACCCCATTCATTTCATTTATACTTAACGCATTTGTATTATTGAATAATGTAAGATATCTATCTGTCTATAATTGCGTTTTTTCTCGTCTTATATTGTATGCTGTCCTTTATAATATATAACGATACAATAAAATACCTATCTATAATTGCGTTTTCCCGTCTTCATAAGTGCAGAAAATTAGGACGTAAAACTCCATTCATTTCATTTCATTTGTAATTGCGTTCAGTTTTCGAAATGTTTTATTTTTTTAATTCTTCTCAGAGCCCCCAGCCAAAACTACATAAGCTTTGCTGAAATTGTGAAACCAGAAGCCCAAGTCATCCAGATCAAGTGGAGAGAAAGCTTCCGAAAATTATCTTGATCTTCATCACGATCAAACTCATCAACGTCGCCTAGTTACACATCTAGTTACCATAGCTACACAACAGTAATTACTATCACCATAACAACCATCAAGATGATGCAGAAAAGTAGGACAAAAAACATTTCAACATGTTTCCGTATTGCTGTTGATTGAAGGTTTATGTTGAACCATAGCTTACTTATGATACAGGAAACTGTTAATAGGTTTTTCTAAATTCTTTATGGGTATCGGGGACACTGATAGCCTCGATTTTCACCATTCCAATTTTCAATCAGACGTCTGTAGTTCCTGCAATTCCACTAAAACAAAGTGTTTGATGACGTCACTAATTGTGAGGGGCCTTATGGGATAAAGCAGATTTTGCAATAGTGACGTCATCAAACACTTGGTTTTAGTGGAATTGCAAGAATCACAGATGTCTGATTTCAGATTGGAATGATTTAAATTGAGGTTAGTGTCCCCGATACCCATAAATATTTTTTAGAAAAACCTCTTTACAATCTCTTAAACTCCCGTTTCTTATAAGTTGTCCTGAGAAGGTTGCTGGCCGCATGAGATGATTTTTCAATTATGTAGGTTATTTCGTCAGGTTTTTTTTTCTCCACTATCAAACTATCTGTACCAATTCAACTTTAAAACTAGTTTTGCAATGATTGATTATCAACCTTAATATTGATATTCTTTACTGTCAATCAAATCTTATCAGTGTCCCGATTGGTTGTTATCTAGAAAAGGTGGGATTTAATTTTCATTTTCTAAATACTTATCAATAGGGTCAAAGGTTGATTAATCAAAAGTTTATATTTTTATTTAATGTTGATCAAATTTCAGCCTCGAGTAAATTGGATTATTAATAGACGACGTCCTGTTTTAACTCTTATATTTGTAAGTATTAGAATTTATTATAGTATTTTGATATTTTTAGTTTTCAAACGTCTTTTGTTCTGTCAATTTTAAATCTTTTTCTTAGAGATAACTCTTTGATATTTATAAGATTTAGGAGTAGAGATCACATTTAGTATGCTATTTATAGGTTTGATTGGAAACAACGTCTTAACAATGTACATCCTGTCTTCATTAACCCAAGTAGGTGCAGAAGAGTAGAACGTAAAACTCCATTCATTTCATTTTCATTACAATGTACATCGTCAGCTCTTAGCCTAGAGTTGGTCAATTTCCCTGTTTTGTTTTTCATTTTAATTGCTTCAATATCACTGAGATTTCTCCAAATATGAAGGATGTAAAACTCCACCCACTGCACATTCAATGAACATGACATATACAGAAAGATGATCATGATTTGTAAACATCAATATTATGACCTAGTACATAATGATAAGGCGTTGATAAAAACTGTGAAAGTTTAATGGTTTTTTTTTTATATATTTTGAAATGCGTCTGCTATCTATCTATCTTGTGGTCTTGTGTCTGTTCCTCTAACTTTTCCTTTCATGATTGGAAATACATGACATTCAGGTATAAACAACGACATTATTAGCTATGTGGACACTCTGAAAGGGATACCGAATTGACAAACCTACATACCAAATAAACATTTAAAGCTATGTGGCAGTGGCAGTGGCAGATTTTGGACTTGCTGGGTCGTAGGCAAACGAACGGTAGAGGGCATAATTTCTCATTTTAGGGAGGGGGCATGGTGTGAATACAATTTATAGAAGGAAGTTTGCGATCTGTTTTTCAGGAACAGATCAATCAGCTCATCAGCATCAATCGTATACACGATATCGGCA